TCAAGGTACATACATGTCTGTATCAACATTTCCCTATATAATCAAATCATGATTGTTGTCAAGGTACATACACATTTGTATCAACATTTCCCTACATAATTAAAGCATGTATATTCTCACAGTACACCAACAGATCTGTATCAACATTTCCTTATATAATCAAATCGTGATTGTTGTCAAGGTGCATAAACATGTCTGTATCAACACTTCCCTATATAATCAAATCATGATTGTTGTCAAGGTACATACACATTTGTATCAACATTTCCCTACATAATTAAAGCATGTATATTCTCACAGTACACCAACAGATCTGTATCAACACTTCCCTATATAATCAAATCGTGATTGTTGTCAAGGTACATAAACACAAAATGTATCTTGTCACATGTAGAAAAAGTTAATGGTTTTTAATTGTTTTGATTCATTGTTATTATGTTGCTACAAGATGTATATGATCAGTGTCTCAGGTACCTGATATATAGACACTGTTCGTGTTTATATGTCTTCTGTTTTCTCTGTATGAAAGGAAAAATCTGATTTACTTTGGAAACTTTTACCACTGAATAAGATAAATAGAAAGTTCTGAGGTTTTCTCATGATTCAATTTGGAAACTGATGTGATGAGAAATCACATAAAGTCTAGAATTCAGATATTGTGCAATAATAATATAAAATACATTTGTAGGTAATAAAAGTCTATTGTAGGTAATTATTAGGAACTTAAAATAAGCAGTTGCAATATTTAATTTACAAAATGGCTGTTACATTGCTCCAGAAGATTCTCCTAAACTGGCTTTATATTAAAAGTTATAAAATCAATTTGTACTTTCTTATTATTTTATATTAATTATTTGTTTTCTTTTTAGCAAAGCCAAGCTTGTGTAATGTGTCTCATCCTAGCATGCTCTAGAATGACTCAGGAAGAACAGGTATTATTAATTTTAATATTTATTCTTGTGTTTCTAATTGTCAGTGTAATATTAGTTGGCCCTTAAAATTTTGCTTCTGGACCATTCCAAGTTTCTAACATTGTTCAGTTTAAACACAACAAAGGTATTAAAGCAGTGTCACATGATACTGGCTGAAAACAGTGTCTTCATGGACAGTTGACATAAGTCAGAACACACAAAGCTAAGTGATGAAATCAAATAATTAATATAACTCATTACCTTTGAGTGTTGATTACATCAATTATATCACTTTAAATAATCAAAGTTGTGATTAACTTAATAAATATCAATAAAATAATCAACTAATGAAAATTAATATTTTCAAATATTACTGTTTTTTATTATCTCAACTAGCTAGGTAATCAAAGTGTTGCCATGATTTCTCATTACTATTTTTGATTAATTCAAAGTTGATCAGTTCATTAATCAGTGTCACAACTCATAAAAGTGATACACTAACTGAAATTAGTGTATCTGATTATTGTTATTTTCTGTTGTTTAAATCTCGTGAGAATAAATGATGATTAATCAATTATCAAATTTTATTAATTTTCCAGCTCTAATAAACAGTATAGATTAAAATGTAATCTTTCCTTGTTCACAAATAGAAGTACTTAAGTAGTACCAAGGTGTTTTTGCAATAAGAAAATATGGTATCTGTAAACGAAACCAACAAATAGACTGTTAAAAAGTAAACAACCAGTGAAAGCAAAAATATTCCCTTTTCTCTTTGTTTTCTCTGTTTCATATATTAACTACATGTTTGCTGTCTTGATTCAATGTTTATAACAAGTTCATCAAGTATTTATACTGACCTGAAAAGCAGTGCTGAAGAATTTTCTGGGATAGGAAGCACAGTCATCCCGTTTTACAAAATTCATGCTTTAATTATGTAGGGAAATGTTGATACAGACATGTTTATGCACCTTGACAACAATCACGATTTGATTATATAGGGAAATGTTGATACAGATCTGTTGGTGTACTGTGAGAATAAACATGCTTTAATTATGTAGGGAAATGTTGATATCAGCTTGTTTATGCACCTTGACAACAATCATGATTTGATTATATAGGGAAATGTTGATACAGACACTTCTTACATTATTCACATTTATTCTAAAGCTTTACATTTTGAGATTCATAAACATAAGATAAAAACAAGAAGCAAGGCAATTATTGCAACACAAACGTTTTACACAACTAATACTTATGAAACAAACAGTTTCACATATTACAGTGAAAAACATACCTTATGAAGAAAGAAAGCTTTGACATATTCACATCTGACAGAGAACATACATAATGAAGAAAGAAAGCTTTGACATATTTACATCTGACAGAGAATATACATTATGAAGAAAGAAAGCTTTGACATATTCACATCTGACAGAGAACATACATTATG